AGAGGTTTTCTGAGTTGACAAAATGCGTACGCTCTGTCTTCTCGAATTTAACCTATCCATTGGCTTCTCAGCGTTTTCTTTTCTGAGAATTTTCTTTTTTTCGATATGTCACGCAATTCTCGCCACTGAAGGAAATGGTACCTGCCCCATACCCAGTTATGGAAATCTTGGCATCCAAGGATTCTAGAGGGCTCTTTTGTGGTTATGTCCCCTTCACAACTTCCGCTGATATCTACGACATATCTATGTGGAAGTTCCTGCCTCGCTAAAATAATGTTTTTCTTAATCGCTATATTTCATATTCTTTTTGTTTATAAAATCCCAAGCTGATTTTAGGCCAGATTGATTTTAAACCATATGGCACCATCAAACAGATCTAGGTAACAGGTGCATTACGAAAAGAACTGAGAAACGCACGTTGGCGTGTGAAGTGAATCGGGAAGGATAAGAGAAGGGATTTTTACCAGACGATACATTCTCACACGTTTTTGATCTTGGTTACTCAGTATATAATGATATTTTTTTTAAAGATGAAGGAAAATATTCAAAATGTACTCGAATTCACTGAATTTATGTTTCTTTAAATTAAGGTTAGCACAGATGCAACGTGGTAAGCTTTATATCACTCAAATGAGTCTAAGCTGATCAGGATGGGATGCGATTGCAAAGGAGTTTCCGAGACACACTTAGAACACTTTTTCTGCACGTGAATTTTGTTTTTCCATACCTCTCAAAAAACGTTTTTAAAAAGCTGAATATTTTGTTGGTCAATGGTTCTTGATTGATTCAAGTTTATTTGAACCGGCCAAAGGCTATAAAGGACTTTGCCTTTGTTGTCTTGCTATCTTTCAAACTTATTGCACTGGACGAGAGCCAGATGTAAATGAGTTAAAGCAGTGACAGAAGATAGCTTCTAAATAATTTCCATTGTTCACCAGATTATTCCTCTCTTATTATTAGTGATAAGAAAGCCGACATAACCGCGAGGGAGAATTCGAAGAGAGATTCAAGGTTTACTGTAATTACCTAAATGCTTATCCTGGTCTTAGTGCAGCTTCGGGTCACGCTAACTCCCACACTCCCCGGGTGAACAACCTCTACACTCGTTGCGCATCCTTTTTTTTTTTTTTTTTTTTTTTTTTTTTTATCCAAGAGGAAAGATTTAGGGTAGACTAGCTCAGCTCAAAGAAAATGGATACGACCAAAGACTGACGAATTCTTATATTACCATTGAGATCGCAATTTATTATCTAATTGCATGAAGTAGAGTACAAATAACGCGCCAACAGAGTATAAGTATCCTTCGATATTGTACAGTAGGTTATTTTGTATTGTGAAAAAACCTGTTTGACCAGTCGGCTGCCCACGTTACGCTTATCCATCCGCTTTGCTTTTCCCACCTTGTGACACTAGTCAGGAAAAAACAAACAGGGGGATAATAATTAACTTATTACACGATTTGGTGTGTAGTATTGCTTAGTATTTTTACACATTGTTTGTATTTTGAAAATACGGCACAACTCGCAAAAACTGAGCTCAGCGATACTACACACCAAAAAGTCTAATAAGATATATGTACTAAAACAACATAGCAATTTTATCTCCAATGGCCCTAACTTTCACCCCCTCTCCCCCTTTATATTATGGCGCCCCCCTTTCCCCCCTATATATGGTCGCACCCCTCCCCCCTCTATAATGTCGCTCCTTGTCTCTTCCTTCTACTTTCCTGTAATGGTGGAAGGTAGGTATAGTAGTCAAGTGCCGTTTGCTAGAACTTTACTTCAGTTTTTCTCCTTAGAAGTGACGACGAGAATTTTACGTGTCCAATAATGTTGCCGCAGATTAGTAAGTAGTTAAACTGAATTACGTGATGAACGTAAATGTTGAATGTCATCAACCCTCTTCCTCATTCCGGTTTCACCGAGCACTTTCTTTGCAGCCTGGGTCTCTTATGAGTGCTTTGAAGACATATTTCGGCACCCAATATTTTGCCAAGGCGGCGAGATTTATTTTTAATAAGACTTCTCAAACAATTGTTCATAAGGTGATCATCCAACCAAGACACGCCAATTTCGTGACGTGCATGTGGTTTAAAACCTTGGTGAAAGACTGGAATGAAGCGCTATCCATGAGTTTCACATAATATCAAACCCTTGAGTTTGATAAAGCATCAAACTCTAGCGAACTCATTTCTTAATTTGAACATCAATAACACGCATTTGAATACTTAAAACAAAGACATCAACATGAACAAACAACCTTTATTAACACCCTCTCTAATAACAAATAATAAGACATTTTCTAAAGAAAACATCATCAACTTCGTCGTTCACTTGTTTATGTTCATATTTATTTTACAGTTCATAAAGTAAGCAGATGCCATAAACTGATCACAAGAACTCTTCAAATTACCAATTTCAACATGGCCTCTTCGGTCATCGGCTGATTTCAGCTGCCGAAAACGTGATAAATCGCAGAAGAGAGTGAAGAATTCAAAATGAAACCTTGAATTTATAATTATTTACAGCATTGTGATAACATTGCTCACACCCTTTCTGTAAAAACACAAATCACCATAACAATACAATTTTTTGTAACAACAAATTTGCCGACAACGTGAAAAATTCGTGAATATTTCCATTATCTTTTATTCCTGAGGCGCGATTGAGAAGCTAGTCTGGTTTTATCAGGATTTCCAGGGTTTCCTCGTGTTTGAACACCCTGATGAAACCCTTGCACTCGTTTTGAAATAGTACATGAAGGAACTCTGACTTGTGTTCTGATTTCCGGATTTACGCAATCTACTCATACAATTTGTAAAAGGTACGTAAGAAGCAAGTAGGTTCTCGACTTTTCATTATCTTCTCTAGTTACGACTACGTCAAAGCAAGTGTCCTGCAGAGAGGGACTTTATGCAAAAAGAGTCTCGCCTGTTCAAGCGAAGTCATAATTCTTATCATCATTTTTGGTCACGTGATTCAGGAATCGCGACGTTGTTGAAGGAAAATGTTTCGGTCAAAGAGGAGGGGAAATAGGGCAACAAGCATCCTACTTGCATTTGGGGGCATGCAAGTTTGTTTGATTATTGCAGTCGACCTCTTGTTACAAAAAACGCGCACGTACTCCAACCCTTGCGCAAACTTAAATCGATTTCCCCTAAATTTGCGTAACGTGAAACTTTACTTAAGGGGATTTTGGTTGAAATTAGTGCGGGTGTTTAAACCTCCCACTGGTATTACCTTGAGGCCTGGTGAGGCGCAACCGATTCCGGCCGTCATCCATCGCACATTATTCTAGTTTAGTTGAAAAGCTGTGCTTGTGAAATTAAGAATAAATTAGTTGTGGTACTAGTAAATTTTTGTTTTGAGCCAACGAAAATAACAAAAAGAGGGCTACGAATAAGAACACGGAGTAATAGTCTAACATGACACTTAAGTAGTGAATTATAGTAAATGGCTCCTAGGACGGACTTGGGACGAAAGAAGAGGTTGCCGGGGAAAAAAGCTTCCTACTTGCATTTGGGGGCATGCAAGGTTGTTTAATTGTTACAGTCGACTTCTTGTTACTAAAAACGCGCATATACTCCAACCCTTGCGCAAACTGAAACCAAAATCGATTTCCCCTGAATTTGGATAATGTACAACTTTACTTAAGTGGATTTTTGGTCGAAATTAGCGCGGGTGTTTGAACTTCCCGCAAACTTGAAGCATTTTCCGTTCTCCCGCAAGACACTTTTAAAATGATTCTACCGCCCTCGATAATTGGAACCATATTAGTCAATGCGAGACCGATCGACACAAACTTTCTCTTTAAATCAACTTTGAATGGGAGTCAGGAATTTCTTCAAGTTCCTTTTTCATTTGTGTTCATTGTTTAGCGGGGCTAAAAATGTGAACTGTTCTGAAACAATCTTATTATTTCCAATTAGTGTGTCAAAAATTCGAATAATAATTCAATTATCGCTAAGAATAGACAGAAATATGATTAATGGGATACTCCTGAATGTAGAGAACCACTAATCGCTTACTAGACTAGTTCCTCACTAATGATGCAGTTTGAGCCGACTGTGATGTTGACCTCATATTGATTTAGAAAGCCATCATTTGAGAACCAATCGAGTACTTGAAAATGTTTGAAAACCTTTCGATACTTTGTAACAGACAAGAAACACGATGCTCCTAAGGCATAAATTCGCGTTCTGTTTCATAGGCGTAGTCAGGATTTTAAAACACCTCCAGCTATGACGCGACATGTTTGGTTTTGGAAGCATGGCAAGGTTTGCCTTGCTTGTTTTTCTATAAAGTGCGAGTCTTACGTACCGTAGCGTCCCTCAAGCCCCAGATGGCCTGTTGCGTTGAGCATTTCCAATACGCTGAAATAAGTTTCCCTTATACGAAGGGACCCTCGTCGCTAAAAACGGACGCTCTCAGATACCAATCAGAATATACCTTTTCCCGCGTTCAGTAACCATGATGCATTGCACCTTTTTTTAATGGGCATCTTCAATGCCTGTATTTATCTAAGCCAAGTTGATCTAAGGATTTTGATTTGATTAGGATTTTGTTTTCTTCTGATTGACCTCTTATGCACTTTTGCGCAAGAGAACCCATTTCAATTATTTGTCCAGTAATAGTTATAACCGCCCTCAGTCGAATTACTGGCTCTTAACCCCTTAACGCCTTGAGTGACCAGCATCCTATTTCTCCTTACATTATCACTGCGGAATCAAACATTAAAGTCAGGAGAACAAAAGAAATGATAACGAAATAAAACAGCCCTTGATCGTCAAACGAATTCTCCCTTTCAATACCTAACCAAATGTATGGAGAGCACCAAGGAGATTATACATGCTGCTGTTAAAGTGTAAACGGTCAGTTGTTTTATAGTGGACTCCTGTCGAGCATTTGTTGATGTAACCGCGGATGGCGAACACCACATATGAATTACTCTCTTTATGTTGCAAACTGATCAAACGTAACCCTCGCATGAATACAGAATGAGTCAGTGACATTTTATTCCAGTGTTGTCATTCATTTTTTTTTTATTCGACAGTTTACACGTGCTGTATTTAGGCCCCAAAAGTGGGGTTACCGAATAAAAGAAAGCCACCCTTATTTCATAAGCGTCGGGATCTGTATGCTTTCAGGTTATAAATAAACTTTGAAATGGGAATAATACGAAAGTGAATACTGTGATAATTACTCTGGACACATTGAGAGCTCCTGACTTTGGCCAGTCGTCACTCTTGCCTTACCAGCAATGTGGTTTCAATTCGTCTGTTACCGTTTGACCGTTACGAAAGGCAAGCGCGGATTAAGTAGCGCCGCTGAAACCGAATTAAGGTATTGCAGGCGATGGCTAGTGGGCCGTTTTATCTAGTCGCATATTACGAAGAACTAGCATATTAAAACCTTTCCAGGCTTTTTATACACCAGAACATTTTATTTCGGACTTGAATCCGCTGGCTTCATCGCGTACGAGCCCACGTTCTTCGTGGCGCTTACGGTGCTCTGTTCTGTTTGAATGAGTTCTTGAAGGTTCACTGTGAACAACAAGACCGTCCAATGGCGGATCCTTTAATTTCGTGCATTTCTGATTTCGTGCATTTCTCACGCGCGATGAATCACATTTCACACGCGATGAATCACACTTCTCGTGCGACAATGCGCTCTTCATGTGTGTCCTTGATTGTTGCTCAGTGTGAGAAAGTCTGTCATTCGGACAGTCAACATAAATGTTAAAACTCACATTCCGTATCTCTTCTTTCACTTTTTTCGGCGCGTATAATTGCGTCGGTGAGTCCTTTTTTATTACGTCGTTGGCTGTTGGGTTCTTATCTAGTGTATCATTGGCCCATTGTTGACGAGCGTGATGCTTTCTTGTCATGAAATAGCACCATACGATTGTTCCAATTAAAAGTATAAGCACGGCGATTGGAACTCCAATTAAAGCGGCCAGTGGAACTTCCTCTATATATATTTCTTTATCTTCTTGTGGTGCTGGAGATTTCCTCCCCATGCCACCAAAGACTACTTCTTCATCTGCAAGAAATTTAAAAATTATCGCATTTTTTCCCTCTATCTGAGAACAAAGCACGCCATTTAATACCTTCCACGGAAAGTGATCAGGTGTCAATCGAGGGCAGTTCGTTAGAGTGTCGTAAAACCGAATCATACTAGTCACAACGGCCAATCAAAATTAAGGAAAATATGAGTCAATAACAACTCTTCGTAAACACAAGCAAAAATTGTAAAGCGGGAAAACGCGAGTGACCAACTCGCTACTGGTTTGAATCTTACATCTTATTAGTTTTTAGAGAGCGGTGCGAGTTTTCTCTATCAATCACAGAGCAAAAGAAGACTGGTATCGCGAATTAGTTTGGAAACTCCATTGGAATCACCTTGAGGCCTGGTGAGGCGCAATCGATTCCGGCCGCCAATCCATCGCACATTATTCTAGTACAGTTGAGAAGCTGTTCTTGTGAATTTAGAATAAATTAGTAGTGGTTCTTACAAATATTTGTTTTGAGCCAAATAACAAAAAAGAGGGCTACGAATGGGAACATGGAGTAATGTCTGACATGATACTTAGGCGGTGAATTACGGTAAATAGCTCCGAAGGCGGACTTGAGATGAAGGAAGAGGTTGCCGGGAATGAATGTTGTGTTTTTTCAGTATTCATTGAGACGAATGCCAATGACTGAAGTGAAATGGTACAGATAACAAAATATAACTACAATTTTCTATAAACCTACCGTCGTGTGTCTTGATAGTTAGAAACACGTTATGGGATACATAACCAGCGGAATTCCCCACCATGCATGTGTACCTGGCTTCATCCGCCAAAGTGACATTTCTGACAATAAAACGATGAGTATAAAGTTTACGGTTACCCGTGTGCTGCTTAGCAGTCTCGCGTATCTCTTGGTACTTTGACTTTGTGAAGTCAACAAAGTCAAATGGATCGGTGCCGTTCGAAACATTGCTGGGTTGTTTCCATTTGAGAAGGTGAAAATCAGGATGACTCCTAGCTACTGCAGAGCACACAAACTTGACGTCTTCACCTTCCATAGCTGTTTCGTTCTTCAGAAAGTGCCTTAAAATCTTTGGTTTCCTTTCGGGAGGAATAATAATTCCATTCTCTGATTAAGGGAAGTAAAATATGAAAAGAAAAGTTATGATGTGTTCCTCTTTGATTTACTCAGTACTCATATAGTTGAAGGTTACTCTTTCGTTCAGGTCTTAAAACTAAAGCAGCTGCGTCACAATGTGGTAGAAAGTCTCTTCGGAGGACAAAGCCGTTACTACGAAAGGTGTTTCTGATGGTGGCGTCTGTGATCCTTCCCTTTTGATTAACTGATTCTTACTCTTTCAATCTCAAATTGTGAGATCAGGGAAGCAATGCTGCCATCATCTTTATCATTAGTAACAAATAATTTCCTATGGATAAGTCCTGAGCCGTGATTGAGTTTGTCCTTTTTTCTGTGTCTAGTCAGCGACCGATCAATTGATGAAACCCAGCTAATTTCGTAACGACAGCGGCACTTTCTAAGCCTGGATAATCGCTTATCTAAGAGGCCCAGATGTGAAGAGTTGCAAAGAGAGGTATGGGTGAACCCGTTTCCTAACACCTAGTTGGTAAGGTAAGTGTGCGTTTACTTCTTAGCCTAGACTATGCATGGCACCAGGATTTGTTCCCCATCTCTTAAAAATGAAACAAACCATCGGTGTGAAATTTGTGACATAGATAAAATTATCTTTCCCAGTCTCTGAAGTGTACTTAAACACTAATCTGGCGTAGAAAAATTATCTTACCAACAACTGTGACAATAAATGTCTTTTCGATTTTACCATATGCATTCTGCACAGTGCAAGAGTAAGTTCCAGCGTCATCATTGGTCAATGCCTTAAAGCCTAACACCCAGCCTTTTGCCTTCAGGTGCGACCGGTGAGTGCGGCTTAAAGGCTTGTTATTCTTTACCCACGTGACATTTAGGGGAACCGCTCCTGTTGCGTGACATTTGAGTCTAATATGGTGACCTTTAACGTATTCTAGAAAGCGAACGCGACTTTTGGGTGGACCCTTGAACTTTGGTGGGTACTCTGCAAAAGACACACCGCCAACATTATTTGGTTTCAATTTCTTTCAGTCAGAAAGGAAAAAAAATAACGCATGTTATGTAGATGCCTTGGAGTCAAAATGAGACACTAGATTTCTACAAGCAGGCAAGTGAATTTGACGAACTGTTGTTAATGATATTTTGGTCATACCGACATTTATGGGTCGAGTTTCTAGCTTAGAGGAGTGAGACTGAGAGGCCGAATTATTTTCTCAGCCCTCGACAGATTTCTTTGCTGGTAGTAGTGATAATGATAATGATGATAATTTTCCACATATGTTATAGATATTTTGTGGCAAATTTTAGTGCCAATCACACTTAGTTATCAATGGGTTCAATGGGGTACCCAGTCGTTTCGTGCCCACGATCGTTTAGTACCCGGTCGCTTCGCACCCAAATTCAGTCGGTTCGTTGTTAAAGGTAATAAATCAATTTATTCTTTTATTGTTTTCATACCATAAAATACTTAACTTGCAAAACATACTTTATTAGTACGAGTACGAAACGACTCAAATGACATGGTACGAATCGACTTCGGTGGGTACGAAACTACTGTAACTGTCAGTGGCAGCTGTTACATTAAAGTGTTAAGAGTAAATTACATTGGAATAAAAAGATGGGATGGTTTCATCAACTGAGTAGATAATGAAAAATTGGCCTCCGTAGAGTTTCTAAAGCTGACGTTTCGGGCGTTAGCCCTTAGTCAGACTGATGTAGCTCTTTTAAGCTAAAAACAAACTCATCAATGTCGGTACTACCACGATATCAGTAGCCACATAAAATTCCATGGTCTTCTTGCAGAAATCTAGTCTGCCATATTGGAATAAGAATGGATACATAACGGAGAAGAATTAAGTGAATGGCAACGAAAACTGGGAAGCAAATTGTTGGGTCTTTTGATGAGCGAAATGAATGGGCAAAGATTTCATTTTTTTTTAGGATATTATAACTTTTAATAATTGCTAATAAAAAGCCAGGCTTGAGCTGATGGTGACAACGATACAATAGGGAATATGAGAGTGAATAAGAAAATAATAATGAATGTATTGATACAAATGAATGAAAATTTAACACAAACCCATTAATGGTATTTTAGAAGGTATTCTCGGTCGGTCGGTTGTACTTTTAATGGACGGCTCTCTAGCAGTGATGCTTGGCACTGTTGGAAGAATAATAATGATACGGCGGTCAGACGATCAATGAAATTTTTCTTCCTAGGAAGGTCTACGCTATGACACGTGGTATTGGTTGGTTTAACTCTAATATATAACCGAGACGTTGTTGGAAAAAAAAATGAACCAAAACTAAAACAACTTGTCTCTAAGACTGAATATTTTAGGTATGGAATTACAGGAGATATCTCATTTCATGTCAGTAAAAGGGGAGTTGGCACTTAACCCAGCCACAGCCTGAGGGCTGATGCTACAAGTGCTATTTAATATTAATGAAACGCTAAGAACTCTTGAGATCGAAAAACTTTTAAAGTCTTAAACGAAATTCTTACTGCTCGTGTTACCTGATGTGATCGGGGTAGGACTGGGTGTCTCTTTTTTTGTGATGATACTTCTGTTTGATTCTGTATAATTGAAGAAAACGTTTATTTTTAAACTAGTTGTGGTAAAAAATTAGTGACATGTATTCGATTAAAAGAGTTGGAGATAGTTTTTTAGTTCAAGGCGTATTCATATTATGGCTAAAAATAGCGCATCAATCCCTGAGCTTCTCATAGAAAAATTTACCTGTATAATTTTAGAAAAGTAATTTATTAAAGGACAGGCGAGAGACAGACCAACTGATTGACCAACAGACTAACTGAACAAACGAATTCCTTCTCAAGGGACTGACAGAAACAATACAGACAGCATGAACAGACAGAAATACATAGCTAAGTAGAAAAACGGTATTCTCAGAACGAGCTGATATAAGGAATGTGCAAAGTGGGTCCTTTCTAGTGTGGGATTCCTCAAATGCACGATCCGGTCCTATTTTATTTTGTTTTCTGAATACTTTTGACAGTGAGGAATTGCGTGCAATTTCAAAATTTATAATTGATGTGGAATCTATCTTCTTTCCCTTACCTCTGACTACGAGTCGAATTTCTTGTCTGGTTACCCCAAAAGAATTGTGAGCAATACAGGCATACAACCCCTCGTCCGAAGGCTGTACCTTTTTTATTTTCAAATATTCGAGCCTCGTCCTAAAACGCGGAAACTTTTTGGTGATGACCATACCCTCAGGAAGCCTTTGCCACGCTGTTAAGGTCCTGTTCTCGGGGGGATCCTTTGTTCCGGAAAACTTGCAACGTAATTTGACGTTTCGTCCTTCATGGACCGTATACAATGGCTTTACTGGTGCAAGAAGTACAGGGGGGTCTGATAAACAAAATTAATGAAAACAGTTCCAGTTTCAATTCCTTGACTTGGGCAACTGAAAGTGTAGAAACGGTAGTCTGAAGTAATAACAATACAGCTTGGATTATTTTTATTGTGTTTAATGGAAAAAGACTACGCTCAAGAATTCGTGGTTCAGAACATGTTCACCTCGTCCACACTGCCTGTCTAAAGGTCATTGTTTATGTTCAGTTTGGAGTTGCATGACTACACTTTAGGCTTTCCAAGCATTCGTCTCGTGACTAATTATGTTTTGCATAAATCTAAAGATTTTACATTTTTAAATCGATTATAGCCCTTGTTCATCAAGTTTATGACCTATAGAGCTAATTGCTTTCGAACAAGTAAATTGCTCCCATGTCTGCTAGTTCATTACGCAAAATTATCCCACATTTTCGACTTGATCACAACCGAACCTACTCCTAATTTTGCTCCGGTTAGAGTGAGCTTGAGTTTTTTTTTGTCACATACCGACTTATCCAACTGTTCTCGCGCTTAGTAAAGTCTCACGTGATATGAGCTTCATGCGATGTTTCAAATTCAATGACCTTTACAGGCCACACACTTAGAGAGGTTCTGTCTTTTTCTGTCGCCTCTCTTTCAGCAACTATATCAGTTACTCTATGTGTTGTTCTTTTAGCCTCCAAGAATGCTTAGGGTACTCTTAAACAACAATTATGGCTTGTAAATGCAAAGAACTCTCAGAAAAGTAGACTCCTAAGCTTTGCTGAACAGAATTTATCAACAACGTTTCAATCTTCTTTTGTTAAACATAAATATTTGGAATTCTCGCAAAGAAAATGCTTCCCATATGTTACGGAAACTACATTTTAACCAGCAGGGGGCGGTTATTCCCTCGGGCTACAGTCAATCATGAGTGAAAAAAAAAAAATTAAAAAATAAAAAAAAAACTCAGTTGGAATACTTAGTTAATGAAAAACAAGTCCAGCGTGGATTCATTCCATTTGATCAGATCAGTGGATTATCCCCAAGAGAGCCGCGTGTTATGAATCGTCTGCGGGGATTTTAAAATCTTATTTTAATGTCGACCTTAAGCTGAGTTGAAAAGGTAAACGAAGTCGCTGCTTTGAACCTGAAACAGGTGTCGAAGAAGCTGCTTTTAGGGGCAAAAAAATATACGTTTGGTAACAAGCACTTGCACTCAAAATATTATTTCGTGACTCAGGAATGTGATGAGTGAGTCTATTTTCGATCGTATTTCTAAGAGTTTTAGCTCGGTCTCAATTTTTGGTTTTGATCATTATGCATGCTTCACTTGATAAAAGAAGCATTTTACCTTTTGTTGAAATATTTATTAGTGGGACACAGCATGTGATAAAAGCCGAGAAAAGGGTTTTCATCTTGAGTAAGAAAACAGCTGTAGCATAAATGATACTTCAAACAATCGCACATTGTTCTTGCTCAAAAGCCGTCCGTCCTGTATAGATACGCCATGCAGAGTTGTACCACACGGAAAGCCTAACAAGATGACAAAAACCCTAGAGTGCCCTCGACTACACACGTTTAGGTTCCTCAGAGCTAAAAAAAAGAATGATGCATCGGTGCGATGAGAAATAAGATAATTTGAACCAATAAATGACCTGATAGATTAGCTAGAAAGGCTTTTTCTGGCGTTTGTTATGATTCACCTCACCGATTCAAATGTAAACAATCAAATGAAAAGCTAACGAGCCAAATCTTTCTGAACACAACAGGTCTATGGACGAAAATAACTTTTATAAATATTATGATGTGAAAATTAAACCAAGGTATATCGTCCACTACACCTTTGTGTGAGGGGTAATCAGAGTTAATTAAATTAGAGACTTCTTTTGTCGATAGATTTTGAGTTTTCTCTCGCGAGAATTCGACGCTTTGTACAATTTTTCTCTCCTGAAAGCAACACCTGTTTCAAGCACACTTCATAATAACTGAACCGTTAGTAGCAGCAGTTTCGAGTTAATCTTTTGTTCAATTGATACTCAAGCGGTATTCAAGCGACCTACAAGAAGCTATTAAGATGTAACAATGGTCTCAATTTGGCCTTAACGCCCACTTGGTACCTCTTGCGATACGAAATGAGTTCCATAACAATTAGCAATCAACCTTTAACGTCCAAGGTGTTAATTGGATTCGCTGTACAGTACTAGCTTACTATTTGTAAACTCTCAGTATCTTTCCCTTCCTCTGCCTCATTTCTTTTCCTTAGTAATTTCTTGTTGATCAGGAGAAACGACAAGTGCTGACTTAACACGTTATATCTTTGCATCAATGTCTTATCGCCCGCTCATTGAACAAATTGGTCTTATCAGTCATATATCGAATCTTATGCAGAGTATTCTCAAGAAAAGGGGTAAGAACAATCAAATCCGCAGAGAGTTAGTTTCAGTACATGGTTGAAACCTCATAAATCATAATTTTAGTGTTTTCTTGAAGGAGATGTCGTTTGAAGTAGCCATCGAGGAAACAGACACTAAGCAGAGCTAGTTGAAGTTAGTGAATACCATTGTGTTATCTGCTCTCCAATTTCGGCACTAATTAACAGGGTTCCGAGCTGTCCTACCATGAAGAGACAGCTTTGACCACGTGTTTCCGATTTTTTGTTTATTTTAAAGTAAAATCTCTCTTAACTTGGAGTTTTCAGCGCACGAACTACGCACAAAGACGCAGCTTCCCTTAGGCAAAGGCACGAGGCCGAGTAATTGATTGAATTTAATCGCTTTTCAAACAATTTATCTCATCGCACTTCAATTTCCCCGAGACCTATCAAGCATTTTATAAGTGAAATGATTAATAAGTTACATAGGAATCCAGTTAAAAATTGAGTCAAAGTTGTGTTTATACAGAAATTGAAAGCCTATTTGCATGATGCTTGCGCCTTCGTCCCTCACACTTACAGCTTATCATAACACACCCTATACTCTAAACCAATCCAAATGAACATACCTTTGCAGTGAACAACCACAAACAGGGATAGAATAAATTCCAAGGAAACCGTTTTGGTATAACACATTCTTCAGCCAAGGACCTTTCCGTTCCTGAACAAGCACAGCTGCGCACAGCGCTTCTCCTGCGTCCAAACTCTGTCAAAGAAAATAACAAAGAGGCACGGCGCAAGGTTAATAAATTTCAGTATGCATAAATGCATTAAGATATCGATTGCCATGCACACTGACCTTGCATGTAAGCTAACCACTTACAGCAAGAGGTATTCAACAGTTGCCTTTTCATCAGAAGGGGGCTTAGACAGAAGAGTCTTGTTTTTATGCCAGAACTCGACAGGATAGAAATTTCGAATGACGCTCCTAAAAGCACGGATCAAGTTTTACGATTCATTACTACACTTTTACACCAAAACCACCTGGATTCGAATAATCGAACCTCTTTACTCTGTCGTTTTCCCAATGACTATTTTTTTTCTCGATAGCTCGTCATAAACAGTGATGGATGAGCGGTGATTTTGGATTACAAACAAAACTTAAAGAATTATGCCGATCGCGCCGAGTTACCAACTTGATTTTGGTGAAGGAAGAGAAATTTAAAACCTCTAGGTCAAACACTGTTGGTGATTCTTATGTACACTTAGCTCTCAAGACACCACTGGAAATAATCCTGTTTGGTCAAAGAAGATATCTTTTTTCGGAAATAGCTCAGAATTATTTCTGTTGTAGGTCCGCTATAATGGTTCTCAGACGACAAGTGTCCGATTCGCTGTGAAATTAGTAGTGCCATCGATAATGTAGATTCAGCTGGTAGATTGAGGAAATTCAACTCGATATAAACCAAATTCAAATGTAATCCAAGGATACCGCGTAGGCCAAAGTAATAAATCATCTTAACTCGCGCTTTCATCGTGGCCTAATAGGTCACAGTTGTGAAACCAAAACTGTGCGGTGCGGCTTGGAAACCGAATAACCACTCCATAAGATAGAATTAGTCCGCCAAACAATCGGCGAAAAGCTACGGCCAGTACTTTGCGTTTTTTGCGTTCGGAATTAAGTGCATTTTGTAATGGTTAGAACACGTGTAAATTGTGACGCTCAGGTGTCGCCGGTTAATAAACTCCTGGTCATCAATCATTTCACATTACTCTGCCACTTTTGAAGAAAGCTCTCACATACAAATGAAAAATGTCCTGTTGAAATTTTCGCTCCAATAAGTCATGCTTAACACTCACTTCCAGTCAGAACATACATTCACCCTGCAGCGACAAACAGTAATAAGAAATCCGCAAATCAACGTTGGAAGTCTGCTTTAGAAAGAAAGACGAATTTACGACAACCTGTGCTTCCCAGACAAATTCGAGCAGTTGGCTGCTGGTATTTCAATCCTGTGTTTGACCCGAGAGCACCGCCTACAGGACGGAAATCCGAACAAGTCGCACACCATCAATACTTACGCAGTGTTAGAAGCCTGAACGATCGCCAGCAAGAATATTTGTGATCCTTTCAGTTCGTAAAATTAAGTGGATAGTTCAGGTCACCCAAGATTTCACTGACCAGTAGCGGAGAATTCATTTCACTCGAGGCAAAGCTCGGCGCACGCCAATCACTCGGACAATTACTGCCTGTCAAGTCACCGATTACACCACAAAGATAACCTATTGTTTCTAAACAGTTCCCAGCTCAAGTGTAAAGGCAGCCTTTACGCAAGCTGTTTTCCTTTTCTTGACAACTCTGTCTTTGCGTTCTTGGCTAGCACTTCTAAACAAACAAACCGCTCAACGAAGAATGCTTGGATTACAGAGAACGAAGGCGATCAGTTAAGCCATTCTCGTGCATTCGCGACCACATATCGCGCGGCTTAAATGTCACATAGACAGCGGAAGCTGCTGTATAGAACTTCACAAAGCCACAGCCTTCTTGCTATCGCCAGTTTGGGTCTGGAGGTCAGATCAGATGCTGTTCGGATGATGTGGCGAAAGTGAATTACATAAAGAAGAGATCGATAAGGAAAGTGTCGATCTGCCGGATTAACGTCTCTGCAACTTTCCACAAGGCGATCGATGCGTCAAAACGTAAAATGAGCGATTGTTGAATGAAATCCAATACGCGACAACCTCTCTGTCCGTGTATACACAAATATTTGATTTGAATTAGAAAATACTTACACATTCGGCAGCCAATCAGCGGCAGCTGAAACCGGGCGCGAATTAATTAACTTAATTGCAAATGTCCATAAAGGACAAATCGCTTCCACTGACGTGTACCGCTTGCTCACCTCGCGACTCGGAGATTAACATCGAGATTTTTATCACGATACATTTGAAGATTCCTTCGATATTTTCATCGCTGTTTCAAAACTAGCGTGCGAGCTCGCACCAGCGTAGAAAGAAGATGCATTAACACATTTCGACGGCCGAGTAATAGTTTCGGATATTATTACTTTTGTTTTCAAACGAAATTTGTTTATGTCAGGGTGGATTTCAACCAGTGATTTAATTACAAAAGAAATAATGTCTACGCGACTTTCTTTTATGTGACATAATGAAATAAAGCGGCTTCAGTTAACTTTATTATTGCCGTTTGACTTAACCATTTTTTCAGACGTTGTACAAACTGGGAGTAAATTTACTGCCATATTTCTGTGGAAAATCGGCCTTGGCGGTAGAAATGTAATCTTTTGTTATTCATCTTTCATCGGGGAATGGATGAACGTAAAGAAAGCAACAAAGACATAACTGTGATTAAAAATTAAGAACAAACGAAAATCTTTTCATCAAAATCAAATCGTTTGGCGAATGACTTCTTCAACGTTTTCGGTGAGAGTTCAAACGTTGTTAAGGTAACGTTAAAAAAAATGGAAAGATTTATTTAGTTATTTTTGGTATATATTTTTCTAAAAGGACTTTAAAGATCAGTAGTAAATCGATCAGAAATAACTGCTTGGTCATATTACGGCCAGCAGGTGACCAAACAGCAGGGGGCAGTTGAAATATTATTTCAATGAATGTATGAATCTTAAAAGGTATGGCCAAAATTCGATTTTGCCTCCTCCATTCAAAGTTAAAAATTGAAAACAATGATTTCCATACCGTTAACAAAGATATCACGAAAGCATCTCGCTCAACCGGGAATGGAAGATCTGCATGGGGGTTCAATTGCTGATGGTCTCCCGTTGGGAGCACACTTTTAAAATGCTAAGCTGATTCTTAGTTCGTCATATAAAGAGAGGCGTTTTCTTTTCTACTTTGTAATATTTGCCTGATGTGTCTTATCTCAATGAATGGTGCGTGATTACGGCCAACCACACGCTGGGTCACATCTGAAGGGATCCCATCAAAAATATCGCTAAAAATGGTTCTTAATCAAACAATTCAGGCAGCTAAGAAATGACAGGATCAGTTTAATGACAAGCCCGGAGATAAAGTAGCATATGTTGGACCTAATACAGATATTACTTGACAAGTGAGTCCGAATATTGCTTGAATACTGTCACAAAATCAGAGTGTCATGGCCAAATCAGAAGCGTTAATTATTGGGACAAAAAAATTGCGACAGTTTCTAAAGAAAGGAAGCGACAAAAATTAGTCATCGTTAAAAATCATCCGCTTTATGCATTTTATGTTTGGCTTTGACCGGTTTTTATTTTTCAGTCAAGCTTTTCTTTATTAAAATCTCCTAGACAGAAAGAGATGTGTTTTGAAAACATGATTTCTCGCTTCTGATAACTTACATCAGTGTGTTTTACGTAAGCAATGTGATACATATAATGCAGAGACCAGAAAGGAAAAGCAATGGAAGCGTTTTACCCGCTGAGAAATAAATATATGAACGCAGACGCATCACGAGTCAGTAATGTATTCGGTTCGTGATCGCAAATTGGAAATAAACAATCGAAAAGGCAGAAAAGGAGAATCTGAGCACTCCTTCAAACTCGTTCCAACGCTTTTCGATGAAAACATTGCGGAAGTGACTTTACTCGAACTTATTTAAAACAAAATTCCTTCGAATTTTCAATGAACTCAGTTTGTTTTCATCACTGCGAAGATCGCTTCCACATTCATGTGTTTTCTATACTGAGAAATTTAATCTCCACCTTGTCCTCTGCTCAAATAAAATTGATATGAGCCATTCATTCGTTTTAATAAAACAAATATTGAATTTGGGAAGCATTCTGTCATATCTTTGGTTAGTGCCTTCATCATTTATCAATCAAGTTGTCAATGGCACCACAGTATCTGTTGAATCTAGTTGTGGCCTTTTGCCATCAAATTTACATTTCAGCAACTTTCTGCAAATAAATTTGAGCAGGCCAGGCGATATTGTTCTTCGTATCCTGAAAGCCATTTCATTCTCAAAAAATAATTCCCACGATTAATTTAACAAAACAAATTTTAGCTTTGCTGATAATGAATTTGTTCTATCTTTTCCCTTACGTTTATACGATGATAGAACTCAGTAAATAATATTCCAAATGGGTGTCGTTAAACACCGGTGAAATGAGCATTCCTCGGGCGGTAAACTAATTTCAGTGAATAATTGTAAGAAGTGAACATAATTCTAAAATTATAACATTACTTGAAAGAGAATCTGACCATACCAAGGAAGTTTCTTCTTCGGCGTGGATGCTTTACTTAACTTCAATATCGGTCAACACAAGTTTGGTTGGAGTCAAACTTTGTTTGAAATAACTGGAGCAAGAATGCGTCCAATTTCGATAAATAGTTCCACTAAACGCCTAGTTTTAAAGCCACCTTATAATTGGCTTATTCAACTAAGCACTTGGCAACTTGAAGATTAAGCTTAAGGAAATACCTATGCAACCGGATGACCAACTTGGTCATGCGGGATCCAATGAATACGTGCGCAAAACATCATAACAGAATGCGACAAAATGTTCGAGCTTGATATCATTATACTTACTGCATAGATTACCACTCATCCGTTATCGTTAATTTCTTATTAAGCTTAATAAATTTAGCCCTAAGTCAAACGCCTAGTCCGCTCGGATACACTATCCCAAATAGCGTTGGCAAAAATGTGGCTGTTACACACGCCAGAAAACCGTATTAAGCCCAGATTCCCATTGGCTAAAGTTTCCTCTTGGAGCTGAGAGTCCTAAGAGTATTTATGGAAAACTAAGCGGCATGCTGCGGGTAGGTGGCAAAACTGAGACCAAACGTGATTGGATCGTTAAATATAGCTTATACCAATTGCGGAAGCCACTCACAAAGCGAATAAAGTGGGGCACAAACTTTACTTTCACACGGGGTATTTTCTCGTTGCTCTATACCGTCGGATTATAGCAAGTTTATGAACTGATATAACTGGTAAATGCGATTTCCTTCGAGACGCTGGGCCGGATACATCGTGGAACAAACACCAGTTTGCTGACAATGCTGATCAGTCAAATGAATAAGGGATTAAACCATTATTTGGCATGTGGCTGGTTTAGTTTCAACACAAAATTCACTGTGCGCCCCTCATAAGCTAACGATTAAGAGGATTTCCTATATCCGCGCGCGTTTCCTTTACTTGTGGTTCACGCGCTCAAGAGTTTTTAAAGCTACTTGTTTTCGCTCAGACTTACTTTTCCTTGCTGTGAACCCAGGTCAGTTTGTTACCAACGCGAACCGATCGTCGGACTCACCCGATGTTCCGTCCTGCTCTAATAGCGTGCCTCACTTCTTCGCTGTTTTGACACAAACTCAGCGCGCTTTCCATTAGTAGAATAAACAGAGAATAATTTATTTGTCGTGGAAAAAGCACTCAGACGCCTGCTCTCTGACCTCTTTCCAAACAGTGGGAGATTCACGAAAAACCTAAAAGTCCTGAAGAAAGCAGCATTTGAGGGTAATTTCAAAGGAAATTATTACTGGATCCACTTCGCAAGACTTGCGTCGTTTGTCTGAGTCGAATGGAACTTCTTAGTCGCGTGATCAGCAACATAAACGCTTTCGTGAATAAGAACGTAATCCTTCGTACAAAGAGTGACACATTACTCGGAATTGAAAGAAGCACTCGGAGATAAGTCATCTAAAATTGATGTGTTGACATTAAGCTCAAACCCGTAATCCGCAAAGTTTAATTTTTATGGAGTTCTGAATCGTTAAGGAGTTTAAAGGAGAAAATTCCCACGGATTTAAATTCTTTTGGACAAGTTATGGATTTACGGAATCTCTTTACTTACGATTGTTCTCTTTTGTCTGAAGAAAAAATTTCTTCCTAAACGAATCGAAGATTGTGTAACCTTTCCAAAACGGCGCTAAAACTGGAGAGTTTGTTTTTATAAACGCTTCGTGACTATTCGGGCACAATGCAAAAATGACCGCCTACTCACAAAGTTTTAACCTACCCCCTTTTCTTTCCGGCAACCATTAGGTCCTCTTGATTGACAATGTCATTCAACTAACGAACAGCTGGTTGGGGGACTGCTTTAAAGCTTAGCCCTGCTTTTCGTTTCCCAGGATTTGGGACGTTTATTTCACTTTTTTGTCAGTTTATTTGGACAAGAATACTTTCATATCAGCTGAACTAAGTGGGGTTAAGGCAGAGGTGTTTTGTTCAAGGTCGATCTTATCTAGAGATATTTATTCTTCCCTTCCGTGACTGTTTATAATTCTTAGTCCGGAGCTCTAAAATTAAGAATTAAATATTCATGTGATAAAACTTAACAAATATGCAAAACATTGGAAAACGATGTTTATCAAAACGTTTTACTATTTTTGTCGAAGCTCATCTTAACTTTGCTCTTCTAGTTTGAGATGCAATCCGTTCTGCTTTCACACAGCGTTTGTTTTTCTTTATTTTCTTTCGAGAGCAAAACTGTGATCATGTTATTTTAACGGTTTGCTTCAATTCGCATCTGCTTCTTCTCTCCCGTCAATTAAAACCCGAGAAAAAATAAAAATAACAGTAAGAAATATAAATGTTTAGGGAGAAGGGGAATAACTTTGGAATTTTCAGAGAATTAGGACAAAGAAAGAAAACAAAAACAAAACAGATAGATTATAACAGGATACAAATTTGCCCCCCCCCCTCCTCCTACACCAGAGACATTCAGACTGATAGCAGGATAACTACTGTTATCCACGAAATCATTAACTGAAATTGTATTCAGTTACGTCTCT